CTGAAGAAAATAACACCTTAAAAAATAGCCTAACCCAAATGGCAAAAGAGGTCCAAAAAGCCAATGAGGAGAAAAATGCCCTAAAAAGAAAAATTGGCCAAATGGAAAAGGAAGTCCAAAAGATTACTGAAGAAAATACTTCCTTAAAAATTAGAATAGAGCAATTGGAAGACAGTGACTTTATGAGAAATCAAGACACTGTAAAACAAATCCAAAAGAATGAAAAATTAGAAAACAATGTGAAATATCTCATTGGAAAAACAACTGACCTGGAAAATAGATCCAGGAGAGAGAATTTAAAAATTATTGGACTATCTGAAAGCCATGATCAAAAAAAGAGCCTAGACATCATCTTTCAAGAAATTATCAAGGAAAACTGCCCTGATATATTAGAACCAGAGGGCAAAATAGAAATTGAAAGAATCCACAGATCTCCTCCTGAAAGAGATCCCCAAAGGAAAACTCCTAGGAATATTGTAGCCAAATTCCAGAGTTCCCAGGTCAAGGAGAAAATATTACAAGCTGCCAGAAGGAAACAATTCAAGTACTGTGGAAACACAATCAGGATAACACAAGATTTAGCAGCTTCTACATTAAAGGACCGCAGGGCATGGAATATAATATTCCGGAGGGCAAAGGAGATAGGATTACAACCAAGAATCACCTACCCAGCAAAACTGAGTATAATCCTTCAGGGGAAAAAATGGTCATTCAGTGAAATAGAGGACTTTCAAGCATTCCTGATGAAAAGACCAGAGCTAAACAGAAAATTTGACTTTCAAATACAGGACTCAAGTGGAACATGAAGATGTAAACAGGAAAGAGAAATCATAAGAGACTTATTAAGATTGAACTGTTTACATTCCTGCATGGAAAGATGATATTTGTAACTCATGAGAACTTTGTCAGTATTAGGGTAGTTGAAGGAAAAAAATTATGTATGTATATATAGATAGATAGAGGGCACAGGGTGAGTTGAAGATTAAGGGGTCACATCTGGAGAATAAAATTAAGGGATGAGAGAGGATGATACTCGGAGAAGAAAGGGAGAGGTAGAATGGGGTAAATTATCTCACAAAAAAAACAGAAAAGAAAAGTCTCACAGTGGAGGGGAAACAGGGGAAGGTGAGAGGGAATGAGGGAATCTTATTCTCATAGGATTTGGCTTAAGGAGAGAATAACATACACATTCAATTGGGTATGGAAATCTGTCTTACCCTACAGGAAAATAGGGGGAGAAGGGGACAAGAGAGCAGGGGGATGATAGAGAGGAGGGCAGATTGGGAAAGAGGGTAATCAGAAGCAAATACTTCTGAGGAGGGACAGGGTCAAAAGAAAGAATAGAATAAATGGGAGGGCAGGATAGGATGAAGGGAAATAGTTTTTCACAACATGTCTACTAAGGAAGTGTTTTGCATAAGTGCACATGTACAACCTATATTGAGTTGCTTGCCTTTTCAATGAGGGTGGGTGGGGAGGAGGAAGGGAGAAAATTTGGAACTCAAAGTTTTAAAAACACATGTTTTAAAAAAAATGTTTTCACATGCAACTGGGAAATAAGAAATACAGGAAATGGGGTACAGAAGTCTATCCTGCCCTACAGGAAAATAGAAGGGGAAGGGGATAAGAGAAGGGAGGGGGAGAGATAGAAGAGAAGGCAGACCAGGGGAAGGGGTATTCAGAATGCATGCCATCTTGGGGTGGGGGGAGGGGTGAGAAATTTGGAACTCAAAAACTTGTGGAAGTGAATATTGAAAACTAAAAATAAATAAATTTATGTTAAAAAAATAAAAAAATAAAATAAATATATTTTTTTTAAAAAAAAGGATCTGTGATTTTGTCCCTCTACCTATGGAGTTCACCAACCTGCAACATTTTAGTAAGTGATCTTCAAGTCTTGTTATGGCTTCCACTTACTTCCCCTTCCCCTTCCTGCCTTGCCTCCTCCCTCTTCCCTTCTGTTTCTTCCTTCCTTCCTTTCTTTCATTCTTTCTTTTCCTTCCTTCCTTTTTTCTTCCTCCCTCTCTTCTTTCTTTCTTTCTTTCCTCCCTCTCTTCTTTCTTTCTTTTCTTTCTTTCTTTCTTTCTTTCTTTCTTTCTTTCTTTCTTTTCTTTCTTTTTCTTTCCTTCCTTCCTTCTTTTCTCTTCTTTTTTCTTTTCTCTCTTTCTCTTCTCTTCTTTTCTCTTCTCTTCTTTCTTTTCTTTTCTTTTCTTTTCTTTCTTTTCTTTTCTTTTCTTTTCTTTCTTTTCTTTCTTTCTCTTCTTTTCTCTTTTTCTTTTCTTCTCTTCTCTTCTCTTCTCTCTCTCTTTCTTTCTTTCTTTCTCTTCTTTTCTTTTCTTTTCTTTCTTTCTTTCTTTTCTTTTCTTTTCTTTCTTTTCTTTTCTTTTCTTTTTCTTTTCTTTCTTTTCTTTTCTTTTCTTTTCTTTTCTTTTCTTTTCTTTTCCTCTTCCCTACCAGGGAAGCAGTGAGAGGTACAGATGATAAATTTGTATAAAAATAAAATTATTTTTAAAAAGACTTGCTACCACTCAAGAGACCAAGGGTTACAAATAAAAACTGGGATTTCAAGGTGTCTCATGGTGGCTATTGCAAGCCACTTAGATTCATTTCATATTTTCTCTTCCTCACTGGGCCTCCTAGTCTGGTCTTCATTTGTTTGGGTCCCTGGGTCCTAGGGAGTTTCAATTCTCTTATTTTCTCTGGCATCAGAATGACTCTGAGTTCTCCCAAGCATTTCCAGACCCATTCGCAGGAATGTGAGTTTCACCCCTGAAAAGACATCTCATACCTGAGACCCCTCTTGAAAAATCTCTGTTGTTACACTATAAATATGATTTTGTATGTGCTTAAATGTGGGTACAAATCATGGTTCTAGCATTGGAAGGGCCCTCACAGCTCATCTTGTCTAACCACCTTATTTTCCAGAGGAAGACATTGAGGTCCAAGGAGTCAAGTGACTTGCCCAATGCCACACAGGTAATAATCATCTGAAATGGGATTTGAACCCAGGCCTTCTGACCCCAGAGTCAATTCTCATTCCATCATACCACATTGCCTCATGTCATCCCTCCTTATAGAACATAAGATCCTTGAGAGTAGAGACTGCTTTGTTTATGTCTTTTATGCCATGTAGGCACCCCCAGTGCCTAAAACAGTACCTGACACATAGTAGATGATTAATAAATGCTTACTGATTGGTTGTAGCATAGAGTGCCCTTGGTACCTTGCTGGTTATAACTGTGGAGTTTCGATTCCTCCAGATCCAACTAGTCAGTCAGTTACAAACATTTATTAAGCACGTATTATGTGCCAGGCACTGTGCTAAGCAATGGAGATACAAAGAAAGACACCACCAGTCCTGTTCTTGGAGAGCTTACATTCCAATGGAAACAACCAGGTCTGTAAAAGCTATCCAGAGAATAGAGTGAAAGAGGGAAAGTGATATGAAGGGGAGAGGCTCTACCATCTAGGGGCTGCTAGGCTAGAAGAAGCCCAGGTTTGAGCCCAGCAATGAGCCTTATGGCTTTCCTTCTGAATACCCATCACCAGAAGGCTGTCTGTCCCTGAGTGATGACATGTTCGGACACAGGAATTTATGAGGACCGCTGAGAGGGATTGGGCCATCCATTGATGCTTGAGGTTCCAACATCTAGGAATTCAAAGAGGAGTTAGATCTTAGATCATCTGGGCCAATCTCCATGGTACAATGGGAAAAGCTTTGGCTCTGGGGTCAGAAGCCTGGCACAAAATAAGCACCTAGTAAATAGTAGATGATTCCAAAGGCTCTTCCTATTGCCTGGAATGATCTCAACCGGTAGGAAGGTCATCATACCTTTGAATGGCAGGTGGAAGAATAATGGCTCTGCAGTAAGAGGGTTTGAACCCTGACTCTTGACATTTCCTACCTACTTTCATCAAGTGTGTCTGAGCGTCGGTCTCTTTATTTGTAAAAGATCCTGGGGAGGGGGGGAGCAGTGAATGTAGTGGCAGAGCCAAGCTATACAGAGGGAATGAAAGGGGATGAAAGTAGAAGGGGAACTCAGTTATAGATGGGAGTCTGAGTTTGAAGGAGGAAGGAACCAAGATTTTGGAAGGGTCTTCACTTTGAGAAGAAACCAAATTACAGCATAGAGAGACTTTGACCCAATCTGTACTTGGCTTCTGAATGAATCAAATGGGGGGGGGTCAGAACGAGAAGGAGGAGAATATGGGAAAGAGGATCTGAATATGGAGGGGAAAGGTTATAGAAGGGGATTTGAATGTGAAGGGGAAAATTAAGTCTAGCTATGAAGAGACAGTATGAACTAGCCGGTGGCGAGAATAGCTAGGATGCAGCAGGGGGTCTGAATGTGTGTGGGGAAGGTAAGTCAAGTCATGGTGTGACTGTGGAAGAGGATGGGGAACCTGGTTATGGGGGGTGGGTGTACATGAAGGGTGAAGGGAAGCCAAGTAGAAAATAACTGGGGAAGGGGAAGCGGCCCAATTGCCATGGTTTGGGGTGCTGCTCCCGGGTGGATGGGCCAGGAGCCCCTGGACGTGGTCAGTAACGCGGCTCCCTTCTCTCCCTCCCTCCCTCCGCGCCCGTGCCGCCGCTGTGGCCTCCGCCGCCTCCGCCTCATTCTCTTAGGGCCGAGCAGCAGCACGCGTTTGGGGAGCCCAGGGAACAGTGGCCGCCCCAGGGAGAGGCGTTGGCGGCCGCAGAGACGGCGGCCGGGTTTCAGCGTTGCTAGGGGCTACCTGGTAACGGGCCACAATAGACCCTTTGGGAGAATCCAGGGCAAACAGTGACCGTGGTAATGGGGTGGGCTTCGGGGAGCCCCCGGGCCTGCGAGCACGGCCCCTCCTCCGCGCAGCCCTGGGCACTGCGCGATGTTCCGGAAATTCCCCGCACAAAGCCCCATTCAATGGGAGGAGGGCCCATGCGTGTGCTTTTGGGGGTGGGGAAGGAGGGAGGAGGGGCGGGGAAGCAAGCGGGGGTGGGGAGCGCCGCTGCCAAAAAATACCCCAAACCCAACACAAAACCCACACCACCCAACCCTCAAGTTTTCTTTTTTCTTTTCTTTTCCCTGGCCCCTTTTGCAAAGACTGGAAAAGAGGCCCAGAAAGTGCTGTTTGTAAAAAGAGAGAGGAGAGAGACAGAGAGAGAGACAGAAAGAAAGGAAGAAGAAGAAACTGAAAAGGGTCAGAAACGAGGCATAAAGGCGGCCGGGGAACGCCCCGTGAATTTTGAACAGAGAGCAGAAAAGCAACCCGAAAAAGCAATTAGTAATGGCACTTGTAAATGGAGAGGAGACTCTGGGCAGCGGACAGGGAAGAGGGGAGGGCAGGGCTGGGGAGTGGAGCGATGGGCTGGCAGGATAGAAGGGGAGGCCGAAGGAGGGGTGAAGGGGGGATGAGAGAGAGAGAGGGAGAGGATGAAAGGGGCCATAGGATGATGGAAGATGGGGAATAGGGGTGAGAAGTAAGGGGGAGTAAGTGATGAGAAATTAGGAGTCTGAGGTGAGAAAGGTGAGGAGTTAAAGGAAGGAAGGTGAGAGATAGAGGGGTCTTGGGGGATGGCAGTGGGGGCTGAGGGCGAGAAATAACAGGGTGTGGGATGATAACAGGGAGATGGACAGGGGTGGAAGGCAAGGGGAGCTGGGAGGTGAGGAAGTGAGGGAGGGGCAATGATAAAAGTGGATCTAAGGATGAGGAGCAATGGAGCTTGGAAGTACAAAGGGAGAGAAAGGGTGAGGATTAAAGAGGAGCAGAGTGATGGGAAGCGGAGACTAGAGCAGAGAATCCGAGGAGAATGGGGCGGGGGGGGGGAAGGGCCAGGAGAGTGGAGGTAAGGAATAAGGGACTGGGGAGTGATACGGAGGGATAGGCAAATGATGGAAAGGAGATTGGGGGCGTTTAAAGGTGGGGAACCATGGGAGAGAAGTAAGGGAGAAGGGGATGGGAGATTAGCAATAAGGGGAAAGGTGATGGGAATCACGATGCCTGGATGAAGAACAAGGGGGTTGCTGGAATGGAAATGGGGGAGAAGCGTGAGGGGAAGTGGGAGTTAGGGTAGAGTGTGAGGGTGACAGAGACAGGAGAAGGAAAAGATGGTGTCGGGAATAATGGGAGGTAGATGATGGGCAGAGGAGTGAGGTATAGAATGATGGAAGTTTATGAAGCAGAGAAGAAGAGGGAGTGGAATGATGAGAAGTCAGGGCTAGTGGCTCTTCATTCTAAACCTGGGGCCCTAACCTGCTTCTGTCTAGAATTTCGCAAGACTTCACAATTAAACATTCCCCTCCCCTGTCCCCTAACTTGTCTTCACTATCGGTATTGTAAGCCTAGGGACCGGACATTCTTAAGAAGTGGTGAATCCTCTTCTGATTCTTCTTGTAAAGAAAGACCTGGTTGCTATTATTCCAGGTGTCACAACTCTGGCTTGTCAAGAAACACTCAAAAACCTCATTTCCTGTTTGGGCAGGAAACTTCCTGGTAGGTAAGTGGAGGCTGTGCTAATGAATTCCTATGCACTGCAATGCCTGGCACATAGTAGGTACTTAATATTTGTTGACTGATGAAGCAGAAAGAATGCTGATATTAGGTTCTGGGAGAGCTGAATTTAAATTCCACCTCTGACCCTCACTAGTATTGGAATACTACCTCCTCTAGGCACTTAACCTCTCTGAATTTCACTTATCTGTATATTTGGAAAAATCCCATTAGAATTACCAGTCTCATCAGGATATTACTTTGTGTTAAGGTGATCATTCAGGCTTTGTGATTTTTGAAATGAAACTCATGGTATGAAACTGAGACAGATCGATCCATGTGTTAGTAGAAAAGACCTGGGGAGTTGGCCGTGGCACACAGAGTTTAAAAAACCTGCACAGTGTCACACATGGTATCTGAGGCAGGATTCAAACCCAGATCTTGGGGACTCCAAGGCCTCTGGCTCAAATCACTTAATCTACCTGGACCTCAGTTTTTTCATCTATAAAATGAGAGGATTGAAGGGATGGCCTATGAGGTTGCTTTCCATCTCTAGATGGAAGATCCTGTGCTTAGGACACTTAGAGGCTAATAAACTTGTTCAGGGTCCTAAAGTTAGTGTCAGAGGCAAGATTTGAGCCCAGGCCTCCCTGATATCAATCCATTGGTCCAGGAGTGGGGAACCTTCAGCCTCGAGGCCACATGTGGCCCTCTAGGTCCTCAAGTGTGGCCCTTTGACCAGGTTCAGAGAACCTAGAGAGGATTTGTTCTTCAAAGTTTGGATTCAGTCAAAATACAACTACCAATGTTATACTTTTGAAAAAAAAACTCCCACCACCACCAAAAACTGCATATAGAAGAGACTTCCAGTATCACATACTAACCTCTTTTCCTGCTCTTCTTTTCATAAAGAAATGTTTATATTGATATCGATTGAGTTCATGATAATAATGAAGAAAACTAACTCATATTTACATAGCAATTTAGGGGTTACAACACATTTTGCATACACGAATCAAAATAATAATTAACATTTATTTAGCATGTAAGGATTTGCAAATTATCTTATGTAGGGTCCTATTTGATCCTCACTACTCTCTGAGGTAGTTGTTATTATCCCCATTTTACAGATGGGGAAAGCTGAAGTTGGGAGTCGTTAAGAGACTTAGCCAGGGCCACAATACTGGTAAGTATTTGAGGCAGGATTCAAACCTGCATCATTCTTCCTGACCAGATGAGGCAGGGCAGGAGTGTGCTTGAGCCAACTCAAACTTATAAGAGAGCTAATTGTTCATTTTTCTCGGTGGGTACTTACACCTTCCAGAGTGGTAAACTCTGCAAATCCAGGAGTGACTTATTATTTTGTTGACCTCTAGACATCATCACCATGATAATAATAGCTAATGCGACATAGTACTTTATGTGCCAGACACCTTGCTAAGCACTTTACAATTATTATTGCACTTAAGAAAGTGACACAGAAAATGTCAGATTAAGCTTATAAGTATAGTGGTGTTTTGTTTTGCTTTGTTTTCCCAGACAACTAGTTGTTAGACATTTACCCGCACATCCCTGGCACTGAAGCACACAGAAGAACCAGCAGAAGGACCGCACAATTCTTGGATGTTCCTTGAGTCTGGGACAATTATGGGAAGCCCCAGCGTATTTTAATGGAGTGGGAGAAGTGGGACTGAATAAGTGACAGAACTACTCAGAGGCACCCAGTGCCTACCAGTGATCATGAGCTATCTTGGGTGCTGTGCCACTGGGGAAGAAAAGAGAAACAGCCAGCAAATGAGCTCTCTCCCCATCCCACTGCGCCGACAATGCGTAACATTTCTGCTCAAACGCCCTCCTCTGCTGCTCTAAAGATAATAATTTCGCATTGCCAGCCAAATGGGCACACCAACAATTATCTGTGTTCCTACTGTGTCGCAGCATCAACTGATAATCAAGAGAATTATGTGCCAGTTGAAAGTAGATTTAAATAAACAGACGCTAAATGCAAGCCAGTAATAGATGTAACCAAAATAGTCTAGGCAAGGGAACACTAGCCTAAATAAATAGCTGTTTAGTCTTGAGAAGGCTACAGAATTCCAGGCCTTAGGTGTTTGGAGTTCAATGTCAGGGACAATCTGCCTGCTTTTTACTCACATCATCAGGGTCTAACAGTGTTTGTTAGGTCAGTGAGTAAGACCTGGCTTCAAATCCTGCTTTGAGCTATGTGACCCAGAGCAAACCACTTAACATTTCTGGGCCTCAGTTTCCTCTTCTGTAAAATTAGACACAATGGCCTCTAAAGTCCCTTCTAGCTCTAAGGTCTATCCCCCAAGAGAAATGATGAATCAGCAAGCATTTATTTGGGGCTATGAACAGTAAGAAGAAAAGGGAGCCAACACATTAACTTTCTACTCACTGCACCAACAGTGTGTAACTTTTTTTTTGTTTGTCAATATAAAGACAAATGTGAGACAGCTTAAGAAGCTTAAATTCAAATGGTGAACACACATAAAGGAGAATGGTGGCTGGGACAGAAGTTTTGTTGTAGGAAGTCACAGGGATTGTGAGTGAAAACAGAGCACAGTCTTCCCAATATCAATGGCAGTATGGATGATCATTTCTATATAATCCATAGGAATATTTCTACACTGCTTTGTATTCATTATATATTTTTAGTTTCTTACAGTATAGTAATCTAACATTACATTCTTCAACATGATTTGTTTGGCCATTCCGTAATTGATGGGCATCTACTTCATTTCCAATTCTTTGATTGCACAAAAAGTGCTGTCATAATACAACAAATATAAATATAAGAATACGATTATTATTTTGTTATATAGGGAGATTTTCTTATTAATGATCTCATTGAGGCATAAGCCTAGTAATCGGATCTCTGGGTCAAAGGACATGAACATTTTAGTCACTTTATTTCCATAATTCTAAATTGCTTTCAAAAACAGTTGTAACCCTAACCCTAACTGTGCTCCACCAACAATGTATTAGTGCCTATCTTGCCACAGCTCCTCTGACGCTGCCTGTTCCCATCTTTTGTCATCTTTGCCATTTTGCTGGGTGTGAGATGAAACCACAGACTTTCTTTAATTTATATTTCTCTCCTGTTGTAGTGATTTTTAGGATCCTTGTTAATAGGTTGTTAATAGTTGGCAATTCTTTTTTGAGCCATTTACCTATTGGAGAATGGCTTTTGGTTACATATGTATATATACACACGTGGATATTTTTAGTTGTCTAATATCTAATGATATTGCTCAATCATCATCATCACTAACATTTATGTATCAATTTAAGGTTTGTAAAGCACTTTATATGTATTATCCCAATTTCCTCCCGTAACTCTTCATTGGTTATATGTTTTAATACGTTTAAATAGATCCTCGTCTCCTCCATTAGAATGTCAGAGGAGGCATTATTTCATTTATTGTATTTGTATTCAGGTGACTAGCACAGTGTCTCTCACATAGGAAGATTCGGTGATCCTTGCCTTTAATTTTTTGGAGATCATTATTCCATGGCTCATAGTCTTCTGTCCTTACTGGGAGATTATTGATGTTAAGGAGATTGGTCTTGGTCTCAAGAAGAATCTTGGTGTCATTAAAAAACTGACCAATTTCCCAAAGCTTACTTCTATCTTCTTATTCAATTCTTGGTCGAGTTTATTGTCCCCCAGTTATGTCAGTCCAGTATCGATGCACTGATTGGCCAGATTTATGGACTGTCCAAAGGTATATGACAGTGTGGATATGCTGGGCATTCTTCATCTACTTGGTTTTTCCAGGTGGGTAATTATGCTGAATTCTTATGAATGATTATAGATCGCACTTAGGAGGGTCTGTAGTTGCTTGATACAAGCAGTGCAATGTCAACCAAAAGTGGTAACAACTGTTTATTGATTAAATGTGAACTCCCTGAGGACATGGGTTAGTTTTACTTTTCTTTGCATCTGTAGCACTTAGGATAGTACCTGGTAAGTACTTAATAAATGCTTGTGGATTAATTGATGAATCAATATGGAGGAAGTTCACAGCCCTTTTCTTTGGCCTTGACCCTGGGCCTCCTCTATGGCCGTAGGAAACTTCTTTGGTTAGTTACGTCCCTGTTTTAGTCTGTGCTTGATATGAATAATAAAGGAGTCAAAATGCTTTGTTACATATTGTACATGTGGATTGAACACCTCTGATGAATACAGAAGAGGAAATAGGCTGACTTTCAGAAATGTATTCTGCAGTAGACCATATCCTTACAGTCATGCAATTGGATGAAAGTTATAGAGAATATTCACTGTGCTTATTATTTGTTGACTATGAAGAAAACATGTGTGATTCAGTACTCTAGGAAAGTGTTACTCATGCAATGTCAAATTTAGATAGCTGACATCATCCTTTCTGGTGGGGAGAGGGCTTCTGACAGACACCAGGAGGCTAGAGGAGGTGAAGTGGACTAGCTCTCTTTTCACAATAGACAGAGGAAGGGGGTTCTCTGACGATAGATCCAGAAGCCTGTTAACCAGTTCCTAGGGAGTAATGGTTGAGAGAGTAAGGGAGCAAGGCACTGAGCATCTGGGATCTCTCTCTCTCTCTCTCTCTCTCTCTCTCTCTCTCTCTCTCTCCTCTCTCTCTCTCTCTCTCTCTTTCTCTCTCCTTTCCTTCCCTTTTTCTTTCCTCCCTCCTTTCCTTTTTTCCTTCCTCTCATCCTCTCTCTTTCCTTCTTTTTCTTTCCTACCTTTTTTCCTCCCTCTTTTTGTCCCTCCTCTTCCTTCCTTCCTTCCTTCCTTCCTTCCTTCCTTCCTTCCTTCCTTCCTTTCTTTCTTTCTTTCTTTCTTTCTTTCTTTCTTCTTCTTTCTCTTCTTCTTTCTTCCTCCCTCCCTCCCTCCCTCCTCTCTCTCTCTCTCTCTCTCCTCTCTCTCTCTCTCTCTCTTCTCTCTTCTTTCTTCTTTCTTTCTTTCTTCCTTTCTTTCTTATCAAAGGTCACAGGTAGTAGAGGCTCTGGATTTGAACCCTGGTTCTTAGACTCTAAATTCCATACTATCTACAGATGAGGAAACTGAGGTACAAATATCAGAGGATCTTAGAGATGTCACCTATTCACTCCCTTGATTCAGTTCATGAAACTGAGAGACAAAGAGGTTTAATGAAGAGGTTTAGTGAAACTTATTCATGACATAGTAAATAACAGAACTTGGATTCCAACCTAAGTCTTTAATATCATCTGAGGTAAAAAGAAGGATTATTCATAGAGATTGAAACTAGCATAAAGCAGACCCAGGGGCATGGGAATTAGGGAGACTCCTTTCATTTATTTTGGTCCAAAAGCTCTTACCTGGATCAAATGAGAAAATTTACAGAAGGAACTTTGCAAGCCTCAAAGTACTCTGGAAATATCAGATATCCTTATAATTAGGGAAGGCTTTGTAAAAAATAGACAAACTAATCAGGAAGATGGAAATGATATATTGCAATGGGAAAAACACTGACCTTGAAGTACTGGGTCCTGGGTTTGAATCCTGCTTCTTGCTATCTGTCTGGCTTTGAGCAAATTACCTGACTTCTCTGGGCCTCAGTTATGTATCTGTAAAATGAGAGGATTGGCTTAGTTGACATATAAGGTCCCCTCCAGCTCTAAATTCATGATCTGTCATCATGTTATCTTTGATAACAAAGACATCTGCTCCCACTGCAGCATGAGGGTGGAGGTGGGGGGTGACTCTATAGCTAAGTTCTAAAAGAGAAAAAGAAATGCTCATTTCCTTTAAAAAAAACCAGTTGAATGTATCATTACTTTGTCAGAATTACAACTTAGATTTTGTTTAACAAAAGTCACAACCCACTCAATAATTTATCTGTTAAACTATGATTAGAATTCCAAGAGATGAGATTAAAATTTCTGATGACATTTAGAAGCCTTCTAAGTAGAGATAGTACTTATGATATGATTTTTATGATCACCTGCACTGTAAGGAAGTTAAATTATAGGATCACATTTCAGTACCATAGACAGCACAATTCTTTTAAAAGATTCACTTCTACTATTTTCTCATGATGAAAAGCCAAGTGATGGGTGTTCTATACTTAGTCTTCTCCCACTTTCCTTTCTGAATGGTCATGCCAAAAAATAGGGGCCTGGGAAAGTTATGAAAACACATCCTCTGCTCTATCCTTAGCCACATTTTATTTATTTTTGTGACTCTCAAACCCCTCTATTTTCTAACAGACATTTGCCTGGAGCCACATGTCAGGAAAGACAAAGTGAATTGAACTCTAGATTTCCCACAAATTCTTCCTTCAGTCTTTTCTTGTTGCTTAGAAAGGAGGTTTGATTTAAGATAGTTTGCATGTGTGTTCAAGAAAATGAGAGAGGAAGGGGGAGAGAGAGAGGAAAAAAAGACAGACAGACAGACAGTCAGAGACAGAGACAGAGACAGTCAGAGACTGAGACAGACAAAGAAACAGAGAGGGAGAGAAACCAAGAGACCGAGAGAGGGAGAGGGAGACAGAAAGACAGTGACAGAGAGGGAGAGAGACAGAGAGACAGAGAGAGAGAGATTGAGAGAGATGGTACTCTATTTTCCAATTTTAGGTTGGTGCATAAGCATTTGTGATCTGGGGAGAAAAAGACTAGGTAGTTGCTGAAAGCAGTTCGCTACCTTAGGTTTCCAAAGTGTTGGAGGTGGTAGCAGCCATCCCTAAGTAGGAGGGAAGGAGAAAGAAGAAAGTCGAGAGTTGAGAGGCATGTAGGAATTGAATCATGAAATCCTTGAGTTGGAAAAGGATACCAGAGGACAGATAGTTCAACTCCCACTTGAAGCATAAATTGTCTTAAAAATATCCCAGACAAATGCTAGCCCAGTCTTCACTATAAGGCCCCTAGTGTTTGAATACTCACTACCAAGAAATGTTGTGTTGTGGCTAAATAACTGCTTTTAGGGGAAGGCAGACCTAGGTTCAAATTCTAGCTCCAGTACTGGTTGCACCGCCACAATCAG